TGTTTTCTGGGTGAAAATAATTCTCCTAAATTCCGCTTTAGCTCTTCTTGTGGCAATCTTATATCTCTGTCCTCAAGCTACCTGTGGAAACAACTTCTCTCTATTAACCCTAACAAATGCCCTCATGATTTTCTACACCTCAATCTGACCCCTGACCCAACCTTCTCTGCTCCAAGGAAAACAGGCCTAGATTCTTCTAATCTCTCCTCAGAACCATTACCCCTCATCCCTGGAATCATTCTTGTACAAACTCCTCTGCACCTCCTCCTTAACATTGTTCCTGAAGTCAGGTGCCCAGAACTGTACTGAATACTTCAGCTGCAGCCTACCAAATGATTTATACAAACTCAGTGTGACTTCTTTACTTTTATACTGTATGCCCATGTGTATGAAACCCACCCTTCTTTGCAGCCCCAAGTTCAGGGACAAAGGTTTTAAACATGTGTGAACATCGTTTCCTCAATAATTTTGAATAGAAGAATACTAATAACTATTCAGTTTGTTTCAGTACCTTGGCGTTTTCCTTGATATTTACAATTTCTGTAAAGGATATACTTAACTTTGTAAACAACATTGCACTTCCTGCATTATTGTATATATTTATATATTATGCAATCACAAAACAGAATACTGAAAATAAAAGGATTTTGTATACTGCTCCATCTACTTTATAATTCTGGAAATTCGCAGAACATGTTCTTGCAGAGAGGAATAGTGGATTCTTAATAATAATAATCCTTGCATTTGATATAGCGCCTTATCGCATCATGGAGACATTTCAAAGTGCTTCGTAGGATATACTGCAATAGGATATACTTGACTATAAAGCCACACATCCTCAGATCTCTGGGCTGTCGATCATTTAAGCACACTTCCCAGAAAGGGCACTTTGTTTGCCTTTTAACTCGGATGACAGAGTGAACCAACTCTTGTGCATGAAAAATTACATCTGAAATGTCCCACTTGAACCTTGACCCCAGCCAGCTAAATTACAGACAGCCATTGACAACAGTTCTGGAGAAATCAAGGGCAACAGACTGTCCGATGGCTTTTCTGGAGTTGGATATGGTTAAACAATAGTTATAAACCCATGATTGTGTTACTGAACCAAACTGATTCCAGTATTAGATATGGTCATATACCCAAGACTTACTTGGACAACTGAAATTCCAATTCCACACTAGGCCAAATAGTCAATGCATAATCAATGACATGTATTCTACACTATAATGAAATCAAGATCACATCGATGTTCTGAGTGACATAAAAAATCCTCAAAACAAAGCTCAAACTATTTAATGTGAAATGGTCTGATTGTTTATTTGTAAACAGTTACAGTATTTTTAAAAAGAAATGCCACAGTCTTATGAACACAATATTCCTGTTAGTTACAAAGGTGAAAGTCATATATTGATTGGGATAGAGAGAGATCACCACTCAGAACACTGCATATCTTTACTATTGGCTAGATTTCTTAGGTATCACAACAACAACAACACATTTGTATAGCGCCTTTCATTTTGGGAGGACATCCCAAGGTACTGGACAATCAGTATTTTGGATCACAAGAGGAGATAACGAGAAAAATTCTTCAATAATATATAATCTATAGTAATATATAATAGTATAATAATGAATAAAAAAGGAATGAATAATTCAAGCGCATTGAGACATCTAGAAGACGTGAAAAGCGCTATATCAAATGGAAGGATTATTATTATTATATAGTATTATAAGGAATAATTCAAAGAATAAACATGTGTGGGGGTATTTCTGAAACAAACTTTTACTGAACTTCATTTTCAGGTTTAGAGGCNTTTTTTTGTCTGGAAACCGAAAAATCATTACTGAACAAACATCAGCCACCAGAGGGCCTCGTAACCAGGTTACTGCACAGACCTGGGATACATTAACAACCAGGCCTGAACACATCTCTTGCTGTTAGACAGCCTAGCACATACTGACAAGGCCTCAATTTCAAAAACATGATTAAAAACATAAGCAAATGCTTGAAAAATGCATCAATTTCCTGCTTATTTACAGACCAAAGTATGACACCATAATTTTCAATAGATATCAATATTAGTCCTATTTGTGCCCGGAAAATTGAATGGCTGGTGACACTGAGTTTAAGAGCTCATCCGTGCAGGAAACAAACTCCCAAATTGTTTAACATAAATGAAGAAATTAAAAGAAACGAGAGTGATATTCAAGTGAAGGGTGGTAAAGGTTAGCAGACTTGATTTAATTCAAAAACAGCTTAATGCAATATAATCTGTGGAGTGCTTTGAGATGTCTCAACTGCATGACAAGGCGCTATATCAAATGCAACGATTATTATTATTATATGGACTGAAGGGTCGTTTTCATTAGTCATTATTATTATAAAGATAGATGATGTTGCTGATAGGTGTTGGTCTCACTGATTTTACATGTAGAAATCCCTGATTTCTATAGCTATTCAATGTAAAATATTCCAACAGATACTGATACTGATCGGTCAACAACATCTGAATTCCTCAGAAAATAAAACCAAGGTTGTCCTTTGAGAGTTTAATAATTATCCAGCTTTTACAAACATGTTTAATCTAATCATGACCTGTTGTGCGCCTCTGTGATATGAAACTGTACCATGTTGAGCCATGCCTACTTTAATGGGAGAATTTTCTGTTATTTTTGCCTGGAGAAGTTGAACCTATCAATAATTAAACGGAGACTATTCTCCAATATCACAATATTTAATGAACATAAGCACAGTAAAGCTTCTCCACAGAAATATTGTTCAGAATGGGCTGCATAAGCTCTTTTCATAGGGAATTAAACCTGAATAATTTTTTTGTTGTCCACACTGATATAAAGTGGTCACCTCAGCTCTATTGCTGAACTGTTAATTGATACATATCAACTGCTCTTGTTTTGTGTCTGTGTCGGATTGAAAGTGATACCCAAAGCCACAGTATTGGGGTGCAATTTGCAATATTATCGAAATGGTTTCTCATTGTCACTGCTATTCCTAATTTGTGATTGACGTTTTGTGAAATTCCCAAATGGCAAATTGCAAATTCCAAGTCAGCAAAGTTTGAAATAAGGTGGCGAGCACATCACTGAAAAACTAATTTAAAAGTAAATGTGACTACCCACATAAAAATTAATAATGTTCATTGCTCAAAACAGTGCCTTTTATTTAGTTTATTATTCTCAGTATATCAATTCTTCCTGCTTCAATCAGGAAATAATACTATAGGAGCTTCTGTTGAAGACTGCATCGTCACCTCTGGAAAAGAAAGGTTATTGGGAGTCACCTTCAGAAACCTGGGTGAGATATCTACCCTTGACTAGGCTTTTGTTACCCTATTTAGTTAGATACGGACAGTTATGTTGATATATGTCACTTTGACTCATTCTCCTTTATTATTGCAGGCAATTTTTTTAAAAAAAGGAAACTCAGTGTTCATGACAAACATCAGTAAGCAAAATAAAGTAGAAAAGCATTACTCTGTAGCAAGATGCAGGGGAAAGGCAGCACTCAAAGCAGTTAAGCGGTTTGATTTGACCAAGTACATGTGACAATAGCCTGTGTGGGTTTAACTTCTATTAGCTTTCCTGCCAGAGTAAGCTTTACCTGTTTTGTTGACCTGGGCTAGCAAACAGAAAATCACAAATTGGGTATTACTTGTCCTGGATCCTACTCAGTATAGCAAAGAACATAGGAATCGCGACTATAATTGGTATAATTTTCACAAGATCACAAAGATTATTCTGGGGGATGGGAATGAGGCTATTAGCACATTGTACCGTATACGTAGACATATTAATATCAAGTTTCATATTTTGGGGAAATAATGAGAATTATGGATGACCCAATGAATGCAGGGCATACTTTGGAGTACTTTTCGCAAATGTCATTTGCATACATATAAGATGCTGGATTCACTATTCTTACCACAAGCTACTGAGAGGCCACAAATTTATACTCAGCAAAAGAACCCTTCTACTAAACCTCAAAAGGCTTTGTAGGATATTTTCCAACTTGGATAATTTCTTAAATCTCTCCTAATGTTTATTGGATTCATGGTAGCAACCTACAAAGTAATTTTAGATATAGCCAGGTTTGAGACTCCATATGTGGGCCTAATTAGCCATGATAAACTCAGTTTATCAATGGATATGTGTATGGTTTCATACAGATATGGGAGAATAAATTAATGCTTTGAACTGCAAATAAATGTCAGCATGAGATCTGCCACCATTTAGTTAATATAATGGTGTAATTGGCTTCAGCTATGAAAATAACTACAGCAACCTTCTTGTACTACATGGAAGGGTGGCGTGTAGCACAGAGGACAGATTGTGGTCAAGAGCACGACTGACCACTCATTGAGTTCCTGACTTCAGACAGGTTATTGGGGCAGTCTGATTGTTGATAATCACGCCAAAATTTCCCGGAACACTTTGCTTGTCATCTACACTCACAGACAATTCTATACAGAAATGTCCACAATCAGAGATTTAAAATTCTATGAAGAATTTTGAAAAGCAGCAGGTCCGAGGGAATTAAAAGCCAATAACAGAGTTTTGCTTTCATGACATGATGCGGCAAATCCTCAGTTGTGCCTTGCATGTGTATGTTTTGTCTGCCCATTACTCAAGGTGCTCTAAAACACAATATTAGCAACAAGAGACACTTGAAGCAATCTTTCTCAGTAATCAATGCCAACTTATGGGACCTCCACTCCTCACCCACCAGATCTTCTTCCAGAGCAGAGTTCCCGTGGTTTGGAGTGACATGTTTCCATTTTCCAGCAGTTATTTGCGACTGCTGCCACACACATTATGTTTTATAGCTTCAGTATGTAAAACTACTATTTTGAAGTCAGTTAATGAATCGTACTTTGTTGTACCATTTTGGTCCATTTATGTAAGTCCTAACTATCAGAGAAAAGACTGATCCCTGTTGCTGTCTGAGTGATGTTCCACTTTTACTCAATCCATCAACTCACCTCCTTCTTCCATTTTGCCAGCCACTCATCTCTCTTCCTTTTGCTGATATAATAGGGATCACCGGCTTGGAAGGTCATCCGTTGCATAGGTCTCTGACGCAGGCTACTCTCCCACCCTGACTGGCCACGAAGTCGACCTCTTGTTCCCTGTTCAAAAGGTTACATTTGTAGACAGGATTAGAAAACATAAACCATTCCTCGTACTGAGTTCATTTTTAACTAGAATACTAACTGAAGAAATGGACTAAATTTACCACTATATAACATGGAGCAATGGCATCTATTGGATTCTAATGCAGGTGTGAATCATGTAAAGCCTAACCAACACAAGTGCACCGCAATGCTGAGTCTGAAGCACAGCATTCAGGGATGAAGCAAGCAAAAGCATTTCAGACGTTAAAACAGAAAACATATGTATGTGGAACTTACAGTAGATTGGTTTGGCTGCTCAAGCATGGTTATGGGTTTCCATGTGAGTCAGACTGCCCACCCCACCCTCTCCCCACCAAAACCAATTACAATTGAACATGAGATCTATATACTTTTTTGAAAATCAGTTCTTAAGAGGTTTAGGTTTGCTTTATTTGGTACAACCAAATCATGAATTTTGGGTGAGTTTTGTTCCTCTGATTCCTCCCAGGTGTGTCCATGATAGAACAGAAGAACATAAGAATTTGCTAGGTGAAAGAAGACCAAGGTCCATCTAGTTCGCCTTCCACTATCCTGGCAGTCGCTTGACATGTTGTGTCCCACCTTATAAACTGAGGCTCAGATACTTCTTACAGATATAAAAAGATAGGATGTATCTTAACAAACAAAACCTCATCCTGCTTTCATTTTAGGCTTTCAACTGTTTGTAAAAGCATCTTTGTACACATGGATTCCAGACTGCATTGTAGGCTCCTGGAGTTGTGTGTCGTTAGAGTTCTGGAGCAACTGGTGATAGCTAATGGTACAAAGGAAAAAGGCCTAATACACTGAGTGTATCAGGTGCAAATGGTGATGTAAGACATGTTGTCACACATGATCCAGACTTGGGAATGCCAATACAATGCAATCTTTTATTGGAGAAGGATTCCCTTGAGTGGGTGACGTGTACAGTACAGTGCTCCCGGTTATTGTAAGGGGACCCTTCGAATTTCTTAATTAAAAAATACCATGAAGAAATACCACAAAATTGACCTATTTATTTTTATATTGATTTAGAAGATCAATGAATATTGAATTGCAGTGTGTGAGTGGACTGTTATTGGGGGTTAAAATGAGATGATTGTTGAAACTTTTGTTTCGCTAATGGAATTTCCAAAGTGCACTGTTACCAAATTTCTATTGAAGTGAACTTTCTCATTGTAAACATGTAATGAAAATAAACATATAACGAAGACTGCTAAAGTTCATTTTAGCAGTCTACTATGTATCAGAAACCTTTATAAACGGGTGACAAAAGTGAGCAGATGTGGCTGTATTCAATAAGAAATACTGTAAATGGTCAATGGTTTCCTAAATTAACAATGTTTTCATTCTTTATAATCTCGATTAAAACAATATTGATGTAAAAGGGACCTTAACTGCTGGACATCTGGGGAGTTCTTTCCATTTAACTTTTTCTCCATGGTAAAATATTACCATGCAATGGGGCATCAATATGATAGTCACTAGCAGATCTCAAAGAGACTTTAGGAGGAACTTCTTTATAGAGAGGGAAGTGAAAATGTGAATCTCACTGCTGGAAAATGTGGTTGAAGCAGAAAGTATGAATACATTTCTAAAATTTATAAGGAAACTCAATGCATTCATGAGAGAGAAGAGACTAGAGGCATGGAAGAGGACTGGAGTGGTGCAGACTCATATGGAGTATAATCATTCATACAAACTAGTTGGGCTGAATGGCCTGTTTCGATGCTGTACAGTCTATAATTTTATGTAAACTATAATCGGAATGTGAAAATACCACTTTTTGAAATGAAATTACTTATTATGCATTATATGTTTGGTGAGAATATACTTCAAAGTTGTAGCATAATGAAAGGCATTCCTAGAATGTCATAAACCCTAAAGCAAAGCTTCATAGGCTCAAAATTCCACCTAAGGCCAATTTGTCTTAGAATTTAAGTTTACCTAGAATTGTGGCAAATTTGTAGATGCAGTCTTAATTTGGAAATAGTTATCATAAAGAATCAACTTCCAAAACAAGTCTGAATTTAAGTCTACAATTCTGGGCAATCTTAAATTTGAGTCAAATGGCTGATTTTCAGGCCTGATGCTTAGTGGCATTATGGGAATCCTCAAAAGTGCAGCCTTTGAACTCTAGTAGGCTGTTATTTTAAGCAATATATTGTGGAAAAGCATATTGGTATTTATTAAAGGTTTCCGTCCATTGTGAAACTGCCATCAACAAATTAATATAATACTCAGTTCAATTATAATGTTTAATTTTGTCACAGGAAGGAGCTTGGTGATAAAAGTATCCAGAGTGATATACTATCATGTGACAGGAAGCAGTGAGCCTTGTGTTAGAAAGACATTCACTGTGTTGTATATTTTATGCAGGATGAGGAAAGAGGGGACTCATTACCTCTACTTTTACTGGTTCCCGTGCAGATTCATTATTGTCGTCCAAATCTAAAAAGGGACAAAAAATGAAAATGTAAATAATTTGACAGCATTTATTCTCTGTAACATGATGCATAGTTCAATGGATAATAAGCTACAGTTACTTGTAAGACACACAATATAATTGTCTTGGGATTGTGTACACCACCAGAGACCCGGTCATCTTCACGGTTTTAGCCTTAGGACCATTCTTTTCAAAGTTAGGATTGTGCACAATTGTGGAAATATTTCCTTTTTTTAAGATTACTGTGGGCAATAAGTCAATATAACCATTATGATAATAATCCTTGTATTTGATATAGCACCTTATCACATCTTCGAAACGACTCAAAGTGCTTCACAGGATATACTGTAAAGTGAATCTACTGCTTATTCTGTGGGCGAAACGTGGCAGCCAATTGTGCCAGCATGCTCATCTCTAATTAGCTTGCTAGCTTGAAAGATATAGACGCAAGCAGCCTGACTGGTAAAAAGTGGGATTAGTTGGCATGAAAAAAGCCCATCAAAGGCAGAAAGTTCACTCTACCATCCTCCCATCGCAAAATTAAGCTGTTTATTAAATGAGTCCAACATCCTGGCTTCAATGATTCATTTGGTTCCAATTGTTAATTATCTTCTGCGGGATGAAACAACATTTTTTTGGTGTCTGTCCTAAAATTGCCCTTTGCTACCCTAAGCCAGTTTCCTCTTGGTTTGTTACCCTGAAATATAAAAGTATTGTTTTGAGCTTCCTTTCTCAATACCATTTGAAATCTTAAATAGCGTCAAAATCAAGTCTGAATGAGTGATAGGTTTCTAAACCCCAAACTGTGACTACCTCAAACATCACATTCAAGTCTCTGCATAACAACGTAGCACAAGGTTCAAAATGCCTAGCTTGTGACTGTACTTGTAAGTAAACTATGAATGTGTGCCAATTGGGAGAGCAACATAGAGAACTTGAATGAAAAATGATCCCGGTGCTCGGAGATTGTTAACTGATTCATTATATTGGAACAGGCGACAAAGATGAAAGCATCATAGTCAGGAGGAAAGGTTAAACTGAAACGAAACCCCCCAGAGGTCCAGCACTTAAGGGCCTTTTTACATCAATATCATTTTAATCTAGATTATAAAGAATGAAAACATTGTTTATTAGTAAACCATTCATTCCCGATGACCATTTACAGTATTTCTTATTGAATACAGCCACCCACTCACTCCTTAGCAAACCCTACAATTTGGAAATCTCAGGGCACTACAGTGAGACAGGTCAGCGGAAGTTCCACAGCACAGTTTCATGTTAAATGTAGATACTTTGGGTATAGAATTTCCTGGTAATAAATTGCAGATTATTTTAATACAGTAATGGTATCACGATTGTTGATCTTCTCGTATAAACGTCACCATGTGTCAAGGATCTGAAGCACACTGACTGACCATATTTGCTCGTATAAAACCTGGATCAAAATATAAATACAAATGCACCCAACAATTATAAACAATAACAGATATCAGGCAGTAATTTCATGGATCTGGCCTAATTTTAGCAGAACTGTTAAAGGCAAGAAGAGATTATTCCTATTTGATATGATGGGTTCTATAATAAGTACAAACACATGCCTTTCATTTAATTTTCAGACTCTCAGAAGCTTGAGTGCATTTTGTTCTCTGTGATGCAATATCTGGGTGACATGCCACTACATAAATCTATGCAGTTTTAGCTGGTTAGACTCCAGCAGTATCACAATGCACACTCTGGGGTCACTAAGCCATGGCTCTTGCCAACCTGTGCCTAATACATTCTGGGATTAGGTAATCAGGATGTGTCCCTCCAAGAAGAGTGCGGATTCCATTACAATGCATGGGAATTCCCATTGTATTGTTGGGATGCATAGAACTCTCCAGTCTGGTTTGAATACTCATAACAACAACAACAAATTGCATTTGTTTTGTGCCTTTCACTTCGCGAGGACATCCTAAGGCACTGGAGCATGGTGATGGTGATGGCATGTGTCAGACACCCAGCTGAGCAAAAATAATCAGGTGGAAAATCTCAAATGGGTTGAGACAAAATGCTTCCACACAAACCTTTTGGTGGGGATGGGGGTGGAGGGTGGCAAAGGAAATTGCCTTCTGTAATGTACGTAGTTGGAATCTTATTAGTTCTGAGCCATTATACATGACTCTGCTCAAAGTTGCACAGAAGTTATGGTATCCTCTTTCCTCACGCACACAAAGGAAGGCTGCAAGAATATTTCAACTTAACAACAACAAGATTACATTTGTATAGCGCCTTTCATGTCGGGAGGACGTCCCAAGGCGCTGGGACTTAAGCATAAATGCAGTTGTGAAGAATTATCAGAGAAGCTGTAGTTCCTTCCTGCACACTTCTTCTGAGGAGCATGCTTCTTCTGTCAGAGATTCAACAGGTTTCTGTTACACAAAGGGCTGTTGTGTGCTGGAATGCCCACTCTCTCCTTCTGGTGTAGCACTTCAGGTGGTTCTACATATTGCCTGGATTGCACGCAAGCAAAATACAGCAGCACAGCAAAAAAGGGGAAGAGTGCTCGTCTTCAGTTCTCTCGGGCAACATGTGCTTAATTTCAATCAATTTAAAAAAAAATACACTCTCTTTAAAATATTCTATTTCTTTCACCTGCCATCGTAAAATCAATACCCAATTCACTAATAAATGTGGAAATATGTTTTAAATAGTTACATCTAGATTTTGTGTGAACATCAGAAATAGTAACTCAATAGTGGGTTTTACTGTACACTGAATGCTAAAAATAGCAATCTTTTTGTTATGTTCAATGTACATAGATTGTTCAGCAAGAAAACAGGCCATTCAGCCCAACTAGTCTGTCTCAGTGTTAAAACTCCACACAAGTCTCCATCCACTCCTTACTCCCTCCCATACCCTTCTATTTCCTCCGCCCTCGTGTGTATATCGAGCTTCCACTTAAATATAAGTATTGAACATATCAGACTTTTTGAGATCAGGGTATGTTAGACCCTATTTTTTTCTACTGTTCTGCCACTGCTTAGAGTCCCAACTTATGGTAAGAGATAGCAATGAGAAAATGAAACCCTCCCCAGTGAATAAGGAAATTGCTCATTTAATTTCTCAATGACATTATCTAGTCAGCATTCATTGTCCTAAGGGAGTGAATCCCACAATTCTTTTTTTTACATAAAATGGCTCCAAAGTAACTCTATATATCTTGTCTGAAAACCACAGCACTATACCAAATCATGCTGGAGACCATAGGGAGGACAATGGATACAAATTCAAGAGGGAGCTGGATAGACTTTGACAAAAGAAGCAATTGGGGGATATAAAACAGAACATCATGTAGTGTATTATGAACTGACCAGATGATCAGACTTGTCCTTTCTCATTCTCTGCAGTTCTAAGTTTCTCTATTCAGCCTCTTCAGTATTACTTTGTTGGATTTATATTCTATGGATTTACTTATACTGCACCCTGAAATATATGACTTGTCTTACCATACAATCAGAAGATTTTTTAAAAATTATATTAGTACAAAAATATAACTGTGATTTCTTCAAGTACAAATATTTTGATATAAATTATTTTCTTCAGATTTGGAATTGAAGCCAGTGACTCTGTAATGTAACATGAAATACCTAAGTCTCAGGGTTTGAATCCCATTCAAAAAAATGTTCTTCCTGCCAACTTATAAGAAGCTCCCCATTCCCTTATCGAGGGAGAAGCTTGGATCAAATTTTGTGGTAGATTTGGGTTAGAAAAAACACTGCAGTGGGGGAGGGTTGAGTTTGGTGTCAATGCACAACCACATTCTTTACGTGCAGCTCTGTTGCTTGCATAGCTTAGTAGGAGTTACTGGTACACTATCCGTTTGGCAAGAGCTCAAACATACACTTGCCAAGTTGGCTCCTGACCAACTTAAACAGGTTCTTGGGTCTAGATGGCTTCGACTTAATAAGCTTGGTGAAGGGAGAGTAAGGTTGAGTAAACTCTTTGTCAGTGGCTCGGTGATCTAATAGCTGAGTCAGGCATTTCTACAATACTCAAGAGCACTGTGGACCATTGATCAGGTTGTCTGTAGGATTTGCATCAATGGAATTTGGAGAAGTAGACATGTCACTGGAGGATGGTATTCTTAATATGCAGCTCTTGATAAGGATGCAAGTCATTGCTTTACAGCATAGGGTGGTCCTAAGAGTATAAACAGAAGAAAATTTACCAGACCCTTATCAGATAGTTTACAGGAAGCTAGACCTTCAAATGAGGGAGAGGGGAATAGAATGGTATAGAGAGGAATAAGGAACGAGTGGAGTCTCGTGTGGAGCATAAACATCGGCACAGACTGCTTGGGCTAAGTGGCCTGTTTCCGTGCTATACATTCTTTTGTAAAATTACTACAGTTTACAGGAAAAAAACCTGATATGCTTAGAAATATTTCAACATAATGAGGCACTGTATCAATTGCGTGGATTATTATTAAGTACCCAGTGTGCACTTTGAGATCCCCAATCCCCTGACTTTGCCAATCTGTACCTGTGTTCTTTGAGTGAATGTGGGATGTGTGTGTGATATTGTATGCTGTGTGCGAGTAGTTCTCCCCATTCCCTTATCGAGGGAGAGATTGGACTCTGTACTTCAGAATGTGCAAACAGAAGCTTTGTTGTTGTGAGTTCTCGGTAGATGTAACTGGAGAACCTTAAGCATCTGAAGGGTTTTTTCTGTATGTCAGACTCCTGGCTGACCCATGCCTCCAAAATGTGGACTTCAAAACCTCTGAATGATTTGTGGTATTGTACAATGCATTCAATGTCACTTTTGCATGTTGGATGTTTTCTTGAGTGCAATTAAAACAAAACACCAACTTTTAACATAGTATCATATAAAACAGTATTCAAATGGTGCCTCCAGGATTGAAAATTAAATTTAGGTCAGGACTTTTGGAAAACAAAGCAGTGGCAAATTTGTCTTTTTTAAAAAAAACAGAAAAGGAGCAATACAACCTACAGATGTCTTG